GTAGGGAATAGACGTATTCCTACATTTCTCTACCCAGTAGATAGTGATTACACACATGCCATAGATATCTGTTGAACTACATAGTTTTGGAACTGATAATGATATAAATGCTTTTGAACTTATATTGCATATGTAAGTGAGCTTGGGGTGGAAGATCCTTGAGGACCCCTTGCCTTACTGAGATTTCTAGTTTAGAGATCTCACCCCACGTTTGGGGAATGCTTATTTCAGGGTCAGGTAATGTTGAGACCTCAGGCGGCAGGAGGCCGAAGCTGAGTTAGATTGCTGTTATATTATGCTGCCATGATTGGATGCTGGATTTGCATGCTGCTTTTATGTTTATAGCTTCAGTTTATGTTTTGGAGTTTTATGTTGAGACTTGTTGTTTACTATGTTTATTTGATGAGCATGGGGATTGTCCATGACACATAGTATTATTATGTCTTGTTTATGTCTTGAGTCTTTTGGAGTTGTAATAATGTATCAGGATATTGTCCGGATTACTTGATGTAATGCCGTGATTTAGATACACACTTTATCTATATATTGAGGTATTTCAGTAGATGTCTTATTGCAATTTCACATACAGGCGATATTTTATGAAATTGATTAAGTAATCAAGTTGGTAATTGATAATGACGTCATAATTGAAAAGAAAAAGAATATTCCGCATTTTTAATTAAGCACCGCTTAATACGATGTAATGTTAATATTCCGAGTCTACACGGGGTGTTACAGTCACGGTGGTGGTGACCGAACCAGGATACATCTAGTTTGCAATTTCTCTAACATTTACCTCCTTACTTTATTATTGAAATTGCATCTTTAGATTGTCTTTATCCATTCGCTTACTTACTTTGTTAATCTCTACACTTGCTCTCAAACTTAGATTTTTTCTTATTAAGTCACTTTATTAAAGAAATAGTCTTTAAAATATCTAAGGAGGCACTTTGCGAAAAGATTTTGTAAAACTCAATTCACTCCCCCTCTTGAGTGTTGAAACCACTTGTCCAACAATTCTATGTCAATTAGGTACAAGATTTGAATTAATGACATTATATGGAAAATACAAACCAAGGCCGTCAAATATTATATAGAACTTAGAAATCACTTCTAACTTTAGAAAATCATAACTCACTCAATTCTTTGTCGTTTGAGGTGTGTGAGATATGAAAATAAAGCTTAGGATGTCTACTACCATTTCATAAGATATGGGACATTTATGGATAGTAAATCATTCCCATATATTGAATGTGTGAGGACTGCTCAAAACCACAGGCAGATTTCCGACTTCCGGATAACGACTTTAAATTAGCATATCTCCTTCATTTTTAATCGAAACAAGGTAGATCATTTGTCAAATTAAAGCTATAGAAGTCTAGTTTCTCGTGTAAAATTTTGAGAATAAATTGGGTGATATAAGTACCCATTTTAGGTTTTCTGTTTCGCTGCCTTGTTCCTGTGCAGGCGATTTATTACAGGCAGTTTATATAGAGATGTCTTAAGTTATATAGATCCGTTTGAGGCGTGTAATATGAGATTGGAAAGATTGAGAGGTTCAGACTAATATACCAAAAGATGAGAATATATAGTCTTGTAGATCATTCCTAGTTTAGGAAAAACCAAAGACTGTCAGTGTTGGATTTAGTAAAAGTGTGAATTTAGCTTTGTTGGTTTATAGGAATCACATGGCAACAATAAATAAGTAATGTATGATATGTATAAGTTAGATTTAATTATTCCGCAATTATGTATGAGTTATAATTACAATTTTGAATTTTGTTAAATACAGAATTGATTTTAAAACGAAAAACGTTGTTCATTAAAAATAAAAAAGTTTTATCGTATTTTAATTCAGCTACTATGATTGTAACTGTATTTAATACTATATGTAATAATAATATACTAGTGTACAACGAGCTATTATATAAATCTAATGGCCATAATTAATTCAGCGTAAATATGCACTTGACTCTTACTCCCTCTCGCGATCTGTTTTTTCTTTACGAGGCAACCTCCATTCCAATTGCTCCCTAGCCATTTTTTACATATCCGCAACTACGACTCCGTTAAAATGCATTCTCTTAATCTCTCTGCTAGCTTATGCTTTGTCAGTGGCCTCTTTTAGATTCCCTTTATGTTCTTATTCACCCAACAAATTAGCCTTTAAATTATTTTTGTTTAAATTATTTTTATTTTGTTTTGGATTATTGGCATTTTCGATTCTGACTTTTCAAAATCTGTGCACCAGACATCACTTGAGAGCTGACAACTCTAAGAATAAAAATGCCAACTATATTGCAATTTCTAATATCACACGCAAAATGAGTTTCAGAATTTTTTAATTTTTTTCACGAGAATAAAAGGAATGAGCAATACATACTCCAAAGAACATCACGTTTGAATTTCTTATAGGGATTCTTCAAAAATGAGTTTGTTCCAAGTTGAACAAATAACATAGGTCTCATATTATGCAACAGCTTTTTTTTTAATACGGTTGGATATTTGCCTGTTCTGGCTCACCATTTTGTCATTACAGATATGATAGCTTTTTTTGCTTGTAGAATTGTAGTTTGTTTATACAAAATTAATTTGAATTATTAAGGAAGTGCTATATGGTTGGAACTTGATGTATAATTATATGATATGGATACTATACAAAGATTTATAAACAGAACTAAATTTAAGCATATTTGTACACAAAAGCTTATTTTTGCACGTTTTCTAACGAAGCCTTAATGGAATTGATGGCAAAGAAGGCAAGCATATTGTAGTGTATTCAAACAATAAAAAATGCAGCTTAATTCAATAATTAAGCTAAAGGTCAAGAAAAAATGTCAATGCTACCTTTGTTCAAAGACATATAGCAATAGCTTTATCTAACAAAGAGCATTATATGGACTAGTTTTAAGCAAGCTTAATAAGGCTATAATTATGTTATATTGGAATATTGTTAGTGCCTATATGAGAGTTTAGAAATTAAGAATTTGTATCTTCTTGCCCAGCAATATGTATAATTTTTCATGTTTCAAAAGTTATATATCCCCGTCGTATTGGAATATTCTTGATGAATAATAATGTGAAGGACAACTATTTTGGAAGATGAGAATTCAACAAATATTTGTTATAAAATTTTAGATGAACTTGTACAGTTTGAAAGATAAGCTATAAGCGATACAACAGCAATAAAAACCAACCAAAATACTCATTAACTTAAAATCAACCAGTTATTAGGATCCTAAGAACATATTCGGTTAAGAGATATACTAAATAGATACAATTATATTGAGTGTCATATGAATTGTAGCTCAAGTGGTCATCTCAACCTGCAAGCTTTATATTTGTTTTTTATGATGTTTAAATGTAGTCTCATAGCTTCTTTCTATCATTTGACTTGATTACTTCACCAACACCTTGTAGTTTCCATTTTATTTGATCACCTATGTATTTTCCATTTCACCAAAAACTAAAGACTAGAATAATCCAAGGCACATTAACTGTTACTTCTGTCCAAACAGGAAAATAAATGACAACCAATTAACAAACTTTAGCTTAAGCTAGTTGATCAATAGTAAAACTTCAACTCATATAAGAGTATACAAGTACTCAAGAGTCATTAAATTGGAAGAGCTAATAAATGAAAATAATTATAGCAAATTAATGACTTGCTGAAAATAATATTAATTCAGATTTGCACAACCTGATATTAATAATGGAATACTTCAATTCTTAATACCACAATCAAAAAATGTGATTAATTTGCAGTAATAAATGTCAATTGGTGACTATAATATGAAAGTGCCAGAGGTAAATAATTCATTAATATATTTACTTTTGATAGTCACTCACTTCCCAACTTTTCTAGGTTTAGCTATACAATAATTTCGCATACTTTGACAATAAGATCCAATGCTAAAGCATTCTTTTAGATAAGGCCACCAAATCTTGCACCATCCAAGGAAAACGTACAACAAATAGAACAAAAGGGAGGGAAGAAGCTAACTTCTGCATTTTAGTTTTGGTTGAAGAAGTAACAAGCTACCCATTGTTGTTAATACAATTTATCTTAACCAACATAATTAAAGATTATTAAAAGATAAGATAGATGACTTGTCAAACTAATTAATAGCAAAGTCAAAATTGGTGAGGTAAAAGAGTGATTAGTTAATCTTCTTCCTGACATATCACTTAGCCAATATACATTTTTGACATCGAAGCAAGTGTCCACTTTAGTGTTCATGGTTCATTTAACAGATATTATAATACAAGAAAAATGAAGCAAACCAATAGCAATAAAAGAGATGAACTATGTTGTCACGCAGATTATCCCAAGGATTAATAATAAACCCTTCACCCATGATGATTATGACGGGTGTTTGACGTGTATGGAGTTTTTTTTATTTAAATTTACGAATTTGGTATTTGATTTTGAAATATTACTCTTTGGGGTCTTTAAGTTTCGGAGGGGGATCCCCACGGCTCTAGATGACGCACGCCTACTCCTGCGGCACTCATTTAACGTTTTCTGTTTTGTTTTTTTCTGGAGAGAGAGCCGCCTAGACCCCCCAGCGGCAGTAATTGATTTTTTGAACGGTCCTCTTTCCTCATTATCCCAACGGTCACGAATTATTAATGTTGTTAACAATCATGGGTTCTATGCCAGAGTTAGTACTATTTGTTTTTTAAATTTTTGATAGAATATATTAATTATTTTTAACAGTTGAAAAGAAATTTGTTCATTTAGATACGATAGGTGCACAGCTGAAAAGGAACCCCTGTGTGTGCTGCAAAACATGCAAAGCCGAAATGGTATATTGTTAGTATTACATTTTAACTTTTTCGCTTAGTTTGCACATTACTATCATAGGCATGGTCCAGATTTATAAATATTAACTTTTAAGACAAGATTTTTGGGGTGAGAGCTTTCATAGTCCCTGTTAAAAAGACATTATAATATCACTTTTTTTTAATAGCTTTATAACTTCAATAAAAAACTTCCCTTTTAAAAACACAATGCTACAAGACCAAACTTAACTGGAAAGCCTTTTAAACTTCTCTGTAAGAGGGGAGCACTTAGCATCATTGCAACCTAACAAATAAAAAAACATTGTCTCCAAGTTATAAAACATTGTCTCCAAGCTGTAGGAGGGGAAGGAATATGAGGAACTCTCCAGTATGAATCCAGAACACGTCCCAAGTAGTGAATGTTCCATTTCCTCTTCACTTGATCGTAAAATAGGAGAATCAGAATCCCCAAGCTTATCACTGTCAGCCTGCACAACCATATATAATTCATGAATTTTTTTTTTACAAAACTTACTTGAATAAATAAGCATGGAGAGACAAAAATTTAGATGCAAATAACCATAAGATACATCACCAACGATAACGGTGCTGCAAGGAAACATCATCTTCTTCATCTTCTTCATTGTGATCTAAACAAAGAATTTATCAAATCTTCAGCATCCAATTAACTTCCATAAAGACATTATTTGTAGAACAAAAAGCTCTTCCTTTAAAAGTTCGAACATATAACTTTTATGCATTCAACCGACTGGTTACCATCCAAATCTTCAATTGCATGTCCACCCTCATCATTTAAGTTACTAATTTCAACCTACAATCAACATCAAACATCAGATGTTAAATTGCTTCTAACAAAAAAACTAGCTAAATCAAATGCTTAACCAATTGAAAGAGAAAAAATTCATTTTAATATAACCACAAAAAAATTATGTCAAATGACTTACATGTTTCTTCTTCTTCTTTTTTAAATCTGAAAATGAACTTTCAGCCACATCAGAGACTGGAATATAACAGCTAAATGAACATGACTTCATTTTTTAGTAGATATGTATGGAAACCACAAATATTCAGTCATACAAACAAAATCTATAGTTTGATTTAGCCTGGGGAAATGTTCTCATCCCTCTCTGATAGGATAAACAAACTTTAACTTCTAATATACAATTAAGCATGCATTGTTGGACAAAATTAAAGGCCTTACCTTCTAGTTTTCCATGCTTTATTTCACTTGACGAGCTATATTATCACCTCTTCATTTATATACAATTGAAACGAAAATACTTGGATCATCATTTTATCTAACTGAAAAGCAAAAATTGTAACGAAAATACTTGGAACAACTTTATATACAATTGAACACTAAAACTTTAATTGTATGTGCAGTTTTTTTTGTTTTCTCATTATTTTCTGTCCCTTCGTCCAATTTGCTCAGCATTTGGCAAACAGCTACTACAAGTTAAAGGCCAGCCCTTAAACCACCTAAAAAAAATTGTATGAACCAATTTTTTTTAAAGACTGGTAAGATCACTTCATGTAATGCCGCACTCTCAGAACTACGAACTTGGGTTAAGGTATATATTTTCATTAGGTAGTTCATCCAAAAATTTATCCCACTAAAACATGAAACACTATGGTGAGTAAATCAAAGTACTTACTCGAGCAAGAATCCTGCATTTACTCAAGTAAATGGCTGAGATGAAGCTAATTTATGGACCAAGACACCTTACATCATTCATGGCATTCAAATTCTCATTTCAACATTGCTAACTCCTACTCATATACTATATATATATGTCATATACTATATTTCTATGTATGCATCCATGACCTAAGACTTGAAGGAAAGAAATTATGATAATTGCTATTGTAAGTTATTCGAAATTCAATATATAAGTTATATTAGGCATTCTGCCCAAGGACTGAAAACAGCTTCACTGGTATTTCAGGCACACCAACATCATATTTAAGCACGGGATCATATCTAGAAAATACATTATTCCATTTCTTCCCTTTAACAAAATTTTCAAGGAAAAGCTTCTAAACATAGGGCTTCGAGCCATTTACCAAAACTTAAAGAGTTCACTCATGTTTTTAGGCTATGGTAAGAAAAGAAAAAGGATATTTGTCTTCGTTCGAAACATAAACTGTTAGAAACGCAAGGTTTTAGCTATAAAGTGCAATCTATCCAATGACCTAAAACATGGCTATGTAGTGCTGTAGTGCACTAAACCTAACAAATAACTGAGACAGATTTTGCTTATCACATCTGTGAAAGATAACACTAAACCCATTGATCCATAAATTGTAGTCAAAGAGAATGAGTTACCTGCTACGTTTGTCTAAGAAATTAGAGGTTCATTCCATAATCAGAGACACCATTGATAAGGTTCTTGTCCTCCGATTTGGTCGCGCCTCTGCCCCTAGCTGTCTCCAGCTCCACGAAATTGTAGATTGGAAAGAAGAAAACAGAGATTAGCTCCCTGTCTGCCTCCAATTTCATTCGAACAAATCAGTTTTCGTTTTTTTTATTTTTCATTCGGAGAAGTAAACAGGATTCATAGATTGGGGTTAAAAAAATTGATAAATTAGTGTCGATGGGGGGTGAGGGCGGCACTTGTTTAAAATGAAAATATATTAAGTGCCGATGCGGAGAATGCGCGGCACTGAGTTAGCAGAGAGAAACAAAAAAATACAATTACAAGAGTGCCGCATGGGTGAGGGGGCGTCATTTAGATACGCTGGCCCCATCCCCCGGCACTTGAAGACCCCAACTCGTAATTTCAACCATTCAGATACTGAATTGGTAAATTTAAACGAAAAAAGTCCCAATGTGGTCAAAGAGCCTGATTATGACTATTATGAATTTCTAATGAATTCTGATTAATGTGAGTTGCTGATAATGTTGGTTGATATGGGTTTCTGGAAAAATGGTGAGAAACAATTGATAGATAGTTAATTGCCAGAAAGGGAGTATGCGATCATGTGTGAGTATGATTATATCACAGTGTGAATTAATAAAACTATATTGTTAATTAACAAGTGACTGTATGGTGTTGGCTATGTTTCGTATATAAAATGTTACGCAGGAAGTGAACTCGTGGGTGGAGACTTCTCTATAAATTCCGAGCTTACTGAGATTGTTGAATCTTACCCATTTGGGAAACATATATCAAGTACATCTGCAGTTGATGCTTGTGTTAGAGGCAAGAAGCCGGTGAGAGATGATTAGTATGGTTTACTGGAGTAAAATGATAGATGCATATTTTGCTGACTGTCTGTATTCATGTTTTGATATGATCCGTGTATGATCAGACAGATGTATATAGTGTAAACATTCTTTTGGAAAGGCCTATGTAGCCTATGTATGTATTTGTATAGAACTAACAGATATATGTATCTGCATGTACATATTTATGTGTTACATTAAAGGAAATGGCACAGAGCCATCTTTTGATGTTTGTTCATATATTGAATGGAATGATTATTGTGTCTATCAGGTGTTATGAATATTGTGGGAGTATGTTCCCTAAATAAGTCTAATAAACAGTGGTTATGTTGTCAAATTTTATAGAAAACGTAGTGGAATTACCTATGACCTTGGAGAGTCATATCTCATTCAGTTCTTAGTCAAATGAGACGTGTGAGCTATCATTTTAAAGCTTAGGATGTCTTGTGTTGTCCTAATATATGGGACTATTATAAGTCATAAATGTTGTCCAATTTTCAGTTAGGCCATAACTGCCAGTTTTGCAAATTTAAAGGATAGCCTTTGTCTGCCATTTTTGAAATTCAATATCATTTTAATTTCTTATCAAAACAAGGCTTAAATATATCAAATTAAAGGTCTAAGAGTATACTATATCATATTAAAATTTGGGATTAAACAAATTTGTAGAACTCTCGTTGTTACAAAAGCAGTGAAGGTACTTAGAGATGCTATTCGGTATGTGCTGACAGTTTTGAAAATAATTAACTTACGGCGAGCATATTTGAAGCTATATAACTTCAAATTAGGCTTATAATACCTTGTTGGAAAGCTTAGATAGTCTAGTTTAACATACTGAAATATGGAAATTTATGGACATGTAGTTCATGTCCAATTTTGAAAATACCATGACTAACTCTAGTCCGAAAATCGTGTAAATGTGTATTTCAGCTATGTTGGTTTATGGAAACCTCTTAGCAATCTTAGATATGTATTGTATGATATTTAAGCAATAGAAATTATATTTTCGCAATTGAATTTGAGTTATGATCATACTATGGGAATTGACTTAAATACAGTTGTTTTAAATATATAATGTTCTTAAAATGGAAAAAGTTTTACCCTACATCAATTCAAATAGCGTGATTGTAACTGCGCTTAATATCATATGTAATGATAACATGCCGGTCTGAAACAGGGTGTTACACGATAGTCTGCAAAATTGAATGTGCCAATAAATGAAAACAAAAGAAAAATAATTTAATATCTAATTTTTTACACGAATCAAGAACACAAGGGATTACATACCAAGATAAAGAAAGATTTTGCATGAAAAAGCGGAAGACGACAGAAAGGTTACGAGGATGGAGTTCGATGGAGTGGTGTCGAAAGGTCGCCAAGGAGAAACAAGAATGGAGGTTGCATAGTAAAATAAGAGATTTAAGAAAAAGCAAATCAATCCTGTGAGGAGTTAGAGTCACGTGCTCACTTATGCTGAATCAACTTTCGCCATTAGATTTAAGTAGGATGAAGGGTTGAGATTGAGTGTAAGATTAAAAGTATTATATTAGTGTAATATATATATATATATATATATATATATATATATATATATATAGGTGTAATATATATATGAGAAAAATATTTCTTAAGCTGTTTGAGATATATTTATCTCCTGTTATCTCAAAACTACGTCGTTCTGTTTATTTATTTCCTTATATTAATTTATTCACCATTGAATAGTTATGATTCTCTTTTTCTCTCTCTTCCTTTATCACCGTTGATCCTCTTTTATATGGTTATGATTTAGTGGCCGGAGATAAAGTTATCTCAAGAAGCTTGAGAAATGATAAGTTATATATATATATATATATATATATATATATATATATATATATATATATATATGAAGAGATCTTTTGACTCCGGTGTAAGACTTAGAAGTTTTAGTCCTCATCTTAACGGTTGATTTTCGTCCATATAATGGTTACAGTTTATTGAGTTATATCAATTAATTAATTATTAATTTCAAATAAATGGCAACCATTAGATAGACGAAAATCAACGGCTGAGATATGGAGTCTTACTTCTAAACCTTGCACCGAAGTCAAAAGAACTCTTTTATGTATATATATATAGGGCTTATCATTTCTCAAGCTGCCGGAGATAACTTTATCTCCGGCTACTAAATCATAACCGTACAAAGATGGATAAATGGTGATAAAGGAAGAAAGAGAAAAAGGGAATCATAATCATTCAAAGGTGAATCAATAAATATAAGGAAATAAATAATCAAAATGACTTAGTTTTGGGGTGGCCGGAGATAAAGTTATCTCAAGCAGCTTGAGAAATATTTTTCCCATATATATATATATATATATATATATATATATATATATATATATATATAGGGGTAAATATTTCTACAGCCACTTTAGATAAGGTTATCTACAGCTACCATTTATAACTATGTTCTCCCGAGAGAACATGGTTATAACATTAAAGTTTCTTTTTTTTCTCTCTTCAGTTACTTTTCAGAACTTGTTTGCTGACGTTGAGAGAGAGAAAAAAAGTAACTTTAATGTTATAACTATAACATAGTCATAAATGGTAGTTGTAGATAACCTTATCTAAAGTGGCTGTAGAAATATTTTTTCCATATATATATATATATATATATAGGAGCTCAAATATTTTAGTAAGGTGAGTGTAAGATTGAGTGTAAGACTTCTAACTCTTACACCGGTGTAAGAGTTAGAAGTCTTACACTCAATCTTGACCATTGATCCACTTGTATCCAATGGCTCACATTACTAAAAAATTTGAGCCTTTAGATAAAAGTGGAGGAGAGAAAGGGGATTATTCAAGTTGTAAATTATGCAAATAGATAGAGAGAAAGGGGAGGAGAGAGAAAGAGTGTGGGAGGCCGTAAGGAGAAAGAAAGGGAAAAAGTGTTTATTTTATTTCGCAAATCTACATTGTTTGATGAGATTGTAATCTAACGGTATTGATAGAGTTAGGCAAATTAAGAGTAGGGGCACAATAACCTATCCCTATATATATAAGAAAAACAGTTTTCCTTATATAATGAAAACTTTTTTATATAAGGAGAACAATTTTCCTTACATAATGAAAACCTTTTTGCATATATATATAGGGTTTGTTTTTTCTGATGTTACTTCAGATAACGTTATCTAATGTTCATCAAAACGACGTCGTTTTGGGACGAAAATTGTAAGAACCTGCACCGTTAATTAAGGTAATTAATTAATTAAGTATGAGAATTAGTAAATAATTCCATAATTGACCCTAATAATTATTAAGAGGCTCTAATAATTATGATAAGTGATTAAGAATGCTGAAAGTCATTTTTCGGAAGAAAAGTGCAGATACCGGTTCTGCTAGTCAGTATAAATGCGTACCGAAAATGTATCCCGGAAAATTATGAAAAGTACATGATAATTACTATAATAATATATAGGACTTGTAAAACGAGTTTCAAGTCAAAATAATGAGAATTGGTGTCTGAACTAATACTGTCAGCGTGAAAAATGCGTACCGGAAAAGTGTTGCGAAAAAATAAAATAAATATATGAAAATTCCTAGAAAAAATATCTAGATTAAGAATCTAAAATTTTAGAGTTAAACGAAGAGCGAAATTAATTAAACTAATACTGCTAGTTTAACTTAAGAGACTATATAAATATAAAAGGAATCAAAACCCTAGCTTTTATTTTTATAACTCAGCGGCTAAGTGTGGCTTTTTAGAGTTTTTGGGATCTTAGCTTTCTATCTAAGAAAGCCTCTAAAGTTTTCATTTTTTTCTTCCTCTTTATCATTGAAACACCACCCATCCATTAAAGCTTTAGTTGTGTTGAAGGAGAACCCTTTGTTGAAGATTTGGGTGCTTTCTAAACCTCTCAAGCTTTTATTTTCTGTTGTAAAAGGAACCAAGGTAAACTTAATTATCCCTTTGTAAATTCATAATTTTGGGTATAATATTTGTTATATGTTACTGCGCTATTTTCTTCGGTTAGATGCCATTCCTTTTGTCATTTTTATATCTTTGGGCTTCTTCGATTTGGGTGAAATTACAATAAAGATTCTGCACCTTCTATAGCAATTCGATTCGGTCACTGTATACCCAATGTAGGGCATTCACGCTGGTCGAAGTGCTTTATATATATATATAAATATTTATTTTGTTCAGGAAGGCATCGAGTAAAACCATGTTTACTTTAAAGTTGTTCCAGGGAGTCGTTAGAGAAAAAGGCATGCTTTATTTTTATAGTCAGTGTTTGTATTCTTATATATATATGGGCTTTACTTCTCTCATGTTGTATGAGAGAAGCTATCTCATGTTGTGAGATAAATTAAGTGGGACCCATCAATTTTTAAAAAAAGAAAAAAGAAAGAAAAAAGAGGCACGTCTTTTTATGTGAGTGTAAAATGAGATAGGACTCTTATGTAGCATAAGAGTATAATTTCCCTATATATATATGTGTGTGTTAGTACGTTGGTTATATATATAACGTGGGTTATATATATATATTTATATATATAATAGATATATATATATATATATATAATATAGATATTATTGTGGCTATATTAATTTATAAGATAATAATTATCTACAATTAAATAAGTTAAATGATATTTTTAGAAAGGATTTCCATGTTCGAAATGAAAAAGAAAATAATATCCGATTTCCTTAGAATTTTAGAATATGTATGTTGATACTCAGTGGCGGATCCAGAAAATTAATGAAGGGTGGGCACTGTTCAAGTACATATAGATTTGGGTCTGATTTAAAACGCGACTTGCGAGCAGATGCCGGCGGGCTGGGTCTGGTTTAAATTTAGATTTGGACAGATTGCGACTCAACTTGACCGATGATGGAGAAAGAAACAAATGTTCCAACTTCTAATAACGAAGATTGTGGTTTGAAAGGAGATGAATCAGTATGTAGATGCAAACGAGCTCTCTGCTGTTAGGTTTGGATACTTAAGGTGGAAGAGAGAAAAAAAAGTTCACGAGAAAATAAAATAGAAGGAGGAAAATTAAAGGGGCAGGATATCGTAACAATCAACTAAAACTAGGGTTACCACCAATATTACTATCAATCAATTTCAGCGTTAGATCGATTATGTTTCTCCAACGATTATATTTATTTTCATCTTGTATGGTTATGATCACCATATTTAATGGAAATCATAATCATACAAAAGTGAAAATAAATATAAAGTATTAAATATCGAGAATCATAATCATACAAAGATGGAAATAAATATAATCGTTGGATCAACATAATCGATCTAACGGTGAAATTGATTGGTAGTAATATTGGTAGTAATCCTATTTGGTTATTACAATATCCTACCCAAAATTAAATTGGGAAAATTTGAACTTTAAGAGAAAAAAAATTTATATTTTTTGCATCATAATTTAAGGGTGGGCACTTGCCTCCCTTCTCTAACACTTCCATCCGCCTCTGTTGATACTATGATGGTCATTGAACCAGATCTATGAGTGCATTGGATTCTATTTGTGGTGTGGACCCTTGTGATACCGAGTTCGAGTCGGAGGGGCATACGGGTACAGGTAAGTTTTCGTGTCCTCGGTTTAGCCATGTTGTGGTTCCACCATGTCCCATGGGGGTATGGTTATATGCATGCTGTGTTACATGCTTTTGATGTTTTGGAAATGCTGTTGAGCTGTTATATGCTAGTGCCTTTATGATATGCATGTGGTGTTCCACCTATACGGTAAGCCTGAGTATGTGGTACATACAAGATGGTGAGGCTGTGGGTGAGGTGCAAGCGGTGTTCCTTGTACTCCGTGTAGTTAATAGACGTATTCCTGCATTTCTCTGGCCAGTAGAATAGTTATAACACACATGGCATGAATATCTGTTGCACTGCATAGTTTTGGAACTTATATTGAATTACTGCTTTTAGAACTTATATTGCACATGTAAGTGAGCTTGGGGTGGAAGATCCTTGAGGACCCCTTGTCTTACTGAGATTTCTGTTTAGAGATCTCACCCCACGTTTGGGGCACCATTTCAGGTTCAGGTAATGTTGGGGTTGAGACCTCAGGCGGCAGGAGGCCGGAGCTAAGTTAAATATTGCTAATTTATATGCTGACATGTTGGATGCTGGATATGCTTGCTGCTATTATGCTTTTAGCTTCATTTATGTTATGGATTATCTTGTTGAGACGCTGTTGGTTATGCTGTTGATTTGGTGAGCATGGGGATTGTCCATGCCACATAGACTTGTTTATTGTCTTGTTTTATTTGGAGTTGTATTAATGTATCAGGATATTGTTCGGACTATGTGTAGTAGATCTGTGACATAGATACTCACTTTATCTATATTATGAGGTATTTCAGTTAGATGTCTTTTTGCAATTTACATACAGGCGATGTTTTTATGAAAATGATTAAGTAATCAACTTGGCTAAGTATAATGACGTCATAATTGAAAAGAAAAAGATATTCCGCATTTTTAAATTAAGCGTGGCTTAATACGATGACATGTTAACAAACCGGGTATACACGGGGTGTTACAAAAATCATGGTATTTTTGTAATTTTAATTTATTTCAAGGATATAATAGTCTTTATCACTCTATGTAACATCCCCGTCTCGAGCCGGTTCAATTAACATACATATGATACAAACAGAAACAGCGGAAGACTTAACTTACGAAAATACGAACTAACTTTTTCTTTTTCTTTAATCCTTTTTCACATGACATATCACATTGCATACTTCTTCTAATTTAATTCTTATTTTACGGAGACGAAAATCGGACAGAGTAACCTCTGTAAATCGGACAACTGGGGATTTTTCAATCCCACACTCAAGAGTTCCTGATAGACAGTTTAAACAATATATATTTCTAGAAGTACCAGTCATGCAAATATACTCAGATACCCATCTATGGGCGCATGCTGAACTTGGCTCCGTGCCACAAATCTAATAGCATGCAATCCAATACATAACATAACTGAATACTACATAGTCATATCATCATGCCTGAATACATAAATGTACATGTATCGAATATGAACACTATGCAACAATACATCTTTTCCAAAAATACGTCTAAAACAAATAGTAGCATCCGACCACTCAGAACTCCACATCCTCATACTAGTACCTCTAGCCACGGTTAGTGTTCTTGTCCTATGAGGCTCTTCAATTAACTGTGTTCCTGAAATCATATCCCCAAACGGGGTTAGAGACGAATCTCTAGTAAACTCCAGGTTTATGGAAAACCCTCCATACCCTGGGCTCACTTCCTGCATGACAGTCAGATACATAATATACAAAACATCATATAAGCAATTATCATAACTGAACAAAGCATATATACATATCTTATCAAAGACAAACGCAGTCATTCCCAAGGGATGACCCCAAGCGAAAATCAACACACGTAACAAATATCTTTTACAAAAATCATCACAATACTCACATCAGAACAAAACGTGTTATATCAAAGATGTACGCAATCGTTCCCAAGGGATGACCCCAAGCGGAAATCAACGTACGTAACAAATATCATTTACAAAATCATCATACATATCCCATAAAACATGTCATATAATCAAATATCATAACTAAACAAAACATATACACATATCTTATCAGAAACGTACGCAGATATTCCCAAGGAAGGACCCCAAGCGGAAATCAACGCACGTGTTCCCAAAGGAGGACCCCAAGCGGAACCAGAACATATCAGAGGCGTACGCAGTCATTCCCAAGGGAGGACCCCAAGCGGAAATCAACGCACGTGTTCCCGAGGGAGGACCCCAAAGCGGAACCATAACATATCAGAGGCGTACGCAGTCATTCCCAAGGGAGGACCCCAAGCGGAAATCAACGCACGTGTTCCCGAGGGAGGACCCCAAAGCGGAACCAGAACATATCAGAGGCGTACGCAGTCATTCCCAAGGGAGGACCCCAAGCGGAAATCAACGCACGTGTTCCCGAGGGAGGACCCCAAAGCGGAACCAGAACATATCAGAGGCGTACACCATCAGTCCCGAGGGAGGACCCCAAAGCGAACATCCGGGTACTATACAATCAATGGCCAGATATTGTTACAGAAATCATACTACAGAAGTCATATCATAACAAAACATATCATATTAACACATATCAAATTAAATACATCAAAACAAAACATATCATATTATCATATAGCTCTATATGAATGCATCTATATCATATATCTCATACATATCATACAACCTGACCACAGTCCGTACACTATGGCGGAACACAAAGTAGGAGCGAACCCCATAAACATAGAGCTTACCTCTTTGAGCTTTACAATCTGCTTACTTGAAGAACAAGCTACTTATCATACTCCACGAGAATCCAAACGTTCACAGTCCCTAGGTACACCTAGAGAAGGAATTCAACATAAAACTCAATAAAATGATATAATGCCATGTAAATATACAAGACACACACTTTATTGTTTATTTTCTTTTTACTTAATCATATTAAGTCATGAGTGGGTGGTTCTTTGTTCAACAAATCCCCACAAAATTCCATATATTCACTTAGTCTTAGGATAGTCCCAAAAGGCCTTTAGAACACTCATTACTCCTCTTAGCACCTAAAAGCCTATTTTTCCCAATTTAAGGCCGAATGCCCATTACAAAGGAGCTATAAGATTTCTCTTTGTCTAGTGCCTAAACCCAAGCTTAGCCACCTATATAAATTATTTTACGCATATAAGTGTCCTCACTTTGCGAAACAATATCTCCGAACATATACCTCATTTGAAAATGGCCAAAACTCATTTTAAGGCCATACAAAGGAGCTACCTTATTTTCTTTTTTATTTCACCAAAGCGAAGGTCCATACACCTTAGAATATCATTCCACGCATAAAAGTATGCTCGCTTTGTAAAACAGTAACTCATAGCACATACTTCCTTTGAAAATGGCTAAGAGGCACATAAAGGAAATCATGTCAACTTCATGATTTCAATGCTTTACTCCATCAAATTCAAGCTTATCACACACCTCTAATCCAAGATTCGTTAATTGATATATACGACACTGTTCATCTCTACAATACTATTCATGTATGCGTCACTATTCACGTATACGACACTATTCAAAAATACGGTATTTTTAATTTTCCAAAATACATTTTCACCGTTAAAATTCTCATCTAAACACTTTTCTCAACATGAGCTAAACCTGAATTAAGCTCTAACATGCTCAATCAATCCAAATTTTTTAAAATGAAAACCTATATTCAATATTTCTCAAAACTCAAAGAAAACAAAGATTTCTTAACATGAACTTACCTAGAATGAAGGGAGAAGCTTGCTTCAAGCTCCCATGGCTTCAAGCTCCATCAAAACCCATATTTTCCATGAAATTCGAATTCTTTGGGGGAGAAGATCTCTCGAAATTTCTCACAGGTTTGGCTTTGGAACGGAGTGATTTGGAGGTCTCTAGCTCAAGTTATGAATTTTGGAAGAATTTTAATCAAAATCTCCATTTTCATTTTCTTTCCTTCGTTCTCTCTGTCTCGCGTCCGTAAAGAGAAGGGAACAGTGACTCCCTTGAGTCACTTATATAAATTCATTATACTAGCGGGTATAAGCTCATCTATCTACACACCTCCATTCATTACCAAACTTTAACCAATAGACTAGAATATTTTTCTAGTCACGTTTCTATTTTTACTTTCACTTTTAGATAACTTTATTTATCCGCATTTTTTACCTCTTAACTGTCATTTAAACTCATTTTTCACCAAAAGTGACTTTATTTCTTTTTCTTTGTAATTATCCTTCAATATTAAATCCATAATAAATGTGAGGGTCATTATATTCACCCCACCTTTTAAGGATTTTGCCCCCAAAATCACACATATAACATAACACATACCTGACGTCAAACTCAGGATAACGCTGGAGAATATCATTCTCTCGCTCTCAAGTAGCATCCTCAGAAGTCAAACTTTCCCATTGTATCTTAACCCATTGTATCTTAACCATAAGAATAACCATGTTCCTCAATACTTTCTCATCGCGAACCAGAACTTTCAGTGGTCCCACAACAAACTTCAAATCTTACTTTACCTCATTATCGTCGTGTTGAACAATGTGGGACACATCAGATACATCTCTACAAAGTTGACTGATGCGAAAAACATCATGCAAATTAGACAAATGTGGAGGTAAGGCAAGCTGATACGTCACAGGTCCGACCCTCTTTATTATCTGGTGGGGCCTTATGAACCTAGGACTTAACTTCCTCACACCTAGAGCACGCCTAAACCTGTAGTCGGAGACAAACTAATAAACACATGATTCCCTTCATAAAATTCAAAGGGTTTATGTTTCTCAATCTCTTTTACATATAATCGAGCCAACTGCTC